GGACAATGAACCGACTTCGCTTGCAGCAGCGCGTCTTTAGTTCCCAGAAATATCAGATATGGTTCTTACTGTATAAAAATTATAATTTCCAAGGCCGGGCGCGGTGGCTCACGCCTGTAATCCTGGCACTCTGGGAGGCCGAGGCAGGAGGATCGTTTCAGGCCAGGAGCTCGAGACCAGCCTGAGCAAGAGTGAGACCCTGTCTCTATTACAAATAGAAAAATAAGCCAGGCGTGGTGGCACGTACCTGTAGTCCCAGCTACTCAGGAGGTTGAGGCAGAAGGATTGATTGAGCCCAAGAGTTTGAGGTTGCTGTGAGCTGTGATGACGCCACTGCACTCCAGCCTGGGTAACAGAGTGAGACTCAGCCTCAAAAAAAAAAAAAAAAAAAAATTGCAATTTTCAAAATAAAATGGAGGAAAGACCACCAACCTATTAGAGATAAACTGTGTCTATCTCAGCAACTATGATATCCTCATACGCTAGGACAGATTCTACCTGCCGATCAGTTAGTAAGCATCGTACAAATGAATGAATTTTCAAAGAAAGGAAAAAAGAACAGAGAGAAAGAACAGGAAGAGAAAAAGAACAGGGAAAAAAAACCAGAAAGAGGGCTGGAGGGAGGGTGGCAGCGAGCGAGAGAGGACGAGCAAAGGCCCCACCTGGCTCCTGGCTGACTCCGGCCCGTCTGCCCATGGAGTTACGATCCAGGGTGTCTGCTGAACATTTACAGTGATACTTATTAGACTGGCTTTTTCTGACCGAACGAATTTGCACAGAGATGACAAGGTAGAAAATTTACACGGGCCAGCACTCACAGACGATTGTTCATGATGTTGACTTTCTGTGCCAGCAGGAGACAAAGATGACACTGAAGAATGAAATACAGTTTGACCCAGAAATCTTACTTTAGCTCCCGTTACCTGCCTCTCAATTTCCTAGGCGTGGCTCCTGGGCGCTGTGCAAAAGCCTCGCTGCGCGGAGTGACGGGGCCGCCCCCGCTAACAGCCAGCCCTGCTCCTCTGCGCTCTCCTTTCCGTCCTGCTGACGCGTGCTGACCTTCTCTTTCTTCCCACGTGAAGCCCTTCCGTGTTCCGCCGCTTGCCCGCCGTCCCCAGAGCTGCAGGGCTGCCTCCTTGCTGGCGTTCCGGAAAGCCCCACTTCCCTTTCTAACTGTGTTGCATGTTTCCAGGCAAATTCCAGGTTGTCCAGAGATAAAGGTCACTAAGAATCGGAAACGAGGGAGATCAGACAGATCATTAACCCGAAAGCCCTTCCCTGAATTTAGTGCTCGGAAGCTCTTTAGTTTCGGAGCTGACCAGCAGAGTAAGACAGGGTGATTTAGCCCTCGCGTGGGGAGTGCGGTTTTTTGGCATTTAGGACATCTGTCTAGCGCCGCACTGCGCACCTGTCCCCTGCCCCGTGTCCTGATGGCTGCAGAAACCCCGGGGGTGCAAGGGTGGCACTGGCTGTCCTGAGCATGCGTGCTCCGTCCCTCACCCCGCGTGGTGACCCTCAGATCAGATTTTCATGTGAAAGTAGCGCCTGGGTTCCGGGTGGCTGGTTCCCTCCCCGCGGCCTGTGCGGCGGGAAGCACCTGGCAGAGCAGCCTTTGGGATCCCATCGTCCTGCCTCTAAGATAAAGAGACGGAGGGTCAGACTGTCCCCCAAGGCCCTTCCTTCCCTGAAACACCCGCTTGAAACACAAAGGGGCGCCGGCCAGGGGACGGTCTGGCCTATTCGCTAGTCCTCAGGACAGAACCGTAGACAGAACCTGCCATTTCTTGTTGGCAAAACGTAACCGCACCTGCCTGGGAGGAACCTTCTCCCCAGACGTCACCATCCTGCGTCCTCCACTCAGCACAGTCCCTGACGTTCCCTGTCCGTGTGTACAGCGGAAGTTCCACTTGCAAGTACAGCAAACTGGTCCCGGGGCACGAATGTCCTCGTGTTTCCGTAGTCACTTGCCGTGGCTGCTCCCGCGGGACAGAGTCTTCTCACCCCTGGAGCGGGAGGGGCTGCGGGGCAGTCGAGGCCGGCCACCTCCGTAACCAGCGCTAGCCCCCAAACGCAGGCCAGCCCGGCGCGTCAGCCGCACTTTTGTTCTCCCCGTGTTCTCTCAGGACCCCGTGAGGAAGGGGCCGTTCTTACGCCCATTTTACAGATGAGGAAACTGCAGCTCAGAGAGGTTCTGAACCTGCCCCAGGTCACACGGCCAGGAACCGGGGGTGGAGGCGGCCCCTTGTACAGGGCCCAGCTCCCGGTCTCCGGCCCGCTCAGCAGCCCGGGCCTCTCACGAGCCCCTTGTCCCAGGTCAAGCTCTGGCCCAGGAAGCTGGTTCCCAGTCACCCCAGAGAATTAGGAACTTTGTCTTCACACTGTAGAAAAGGAAGGAGGCTCAGAATGTCACTGAGTCCCCAGACCCTTGGTCCTCCAGCTCAATCTCTAGTAGTAGCGCAGCCGGAGGGAGCCCCAGGACAGGGCACTGCCCCCCTCTGGCCCAGGCCCCCGGGTGCCCGCCGGGGAGGGCCCCTCCCTCCACTCGCGTAGACACGGCTTCCTTACCCGGAGTGCGTGACGTTTGCTAATCTTCTCTTGCACACCCACAGCGTGGCGAAGGTAAGTGGCTGTTCCGTACCTGAGTCAAATCCTCAAAACAAGTGCATCTGGGCCACATGCCACACAGCAAAGCCTCAGCCCAGGCCAGAGCCCTCGTCTCCTGGGGGCCGACACCCCACAGACCTGGGGACAAGAGGCCTCTCCCTCCCCTCCTGATCCTCCCGAAGACACACCGAGACCCCTTTGTGGTGGGGCCCTTTCCCACGGTCCCGGTGGCGGCGCGAGGGGTGCCGCCGCGGCCGGGGGCTGAGGTCCCTGTGGTCTTTCTTGCAGGGGGCCGAAGGGCAAAGGCCAGGATTTGGCTACGGCGGCAGAGCGTCCGACTATAAATCAACTCACAAGGGATTCAAGGGCGACGCCCAGGGCACGCTGTCCAAGATCTTTAAACTGGTAACATGCCCTCCCTGCCGTGGGCGGTGCTGGGACCTGCGGGCTGTGTTCAGGCTGTGCCCACACTGGGGGTCTGCAGGCTAAACCGTGCCCCCCAGGACAGATGCGGGGGCCAAAAGAAAAGTTCACTCCAGAATACCCGAGCTGAGCCCAAGGGTCCCCAGGCGAGAGCAGAGGGCCCTGGGCAGGCTGGCGCGGGTCTGCCCCTCCACGCTGGTATTTTCTGAGCTTAGTTCGGAGCAAGCGGTAGTTTAGAAATGGTGGCCACGTTGGTTCATTCCAAGCGTTTCCGGAGGGCTTCCCTGGGCTGGGGTCGGGGGATAGCCAGCTTGATGCTGGTGCCCAGCACAGCTGGACGTGGGGCCACCGCTGTGCCAGGGAGGGCGGGAGCCCCCAGGGACTGGCAGGAGCCCAGCAGACAAGGGGGCAGGAAAGTCTTGGTGCCATGTCAGAGGCTGCCAGGAACCTAGAGAAGGGCGTGTCCCGTCAGCTGATGGGACCTGGAGCCACACGGCCCCAGGGGCAAATGCCAGGCCACGACTTTTAGCCATGTGGCTGTGACCCCCAGCTCTCTGAGACCCAGTTTCCTCACCTATAAAACGGGGACAATGAACCGACTTCGCTTGCAGCAGCGCGTGAAAGAAAAAGGTGTGACCACTGCAGCGTGGCCGGCACAGGGCGGCTGGGGCCCCGTTGTTGACAGTGTGACCTTCGCTCTGGAACCCTTAAGTCTCAGAGCGCTGCTCTAAGTAAGCAGAGGGAGGCACACGTGACACTTGAGGCTCGAGCCCAACAGAGCAGCGAAGACCAAGGGTGTCTGGAGCCCCCATGGCACCGGCGTTTTCTCCCGGAGAAGACCAGGCACGCGGGGCTCCTCCCCAGGGGGCCGGAGGTCGGGTCTCTCTAGCGGAGAAGGCAGACGAAGGCCGCAGTCCAGGCCTGCGTTTGGACCCCAGCCCAGGCTCTCCCTACAATCTACCTTCAGCGCAGCCCACCACGTGCCACCAAATGCCACCCCCCAGAGGCCAAGGCACCTGGAGCCAGCACACCTGTGGGGCCAGGACTCTGCCCCCAGGACACCCAAGAGACTTTACACCTGGGCCAGGCAGCTGCGGCCCAGCAGGCGCTGGGAGATGGAGCCGTGGCCAGGCCCCTTCCACGCCCCTGCACATCTGCCCAGCGAGCCTGGGCGCCAGCCCACAGTCCGAGTGGCTCCACTTCTGCCCATTTGAGGGCGTATTTCAACTCCAGAGCAACCCTCAGAGTGAGGAGGAGCCCTCGCTTGGCTTCTGTTCGTCCGCAGGCCACCTCGCGACCCGCGAAGCCACAGCAATTTCCAAGCAAGGCCTCCTGGCACCCGGATCTGCCGCAGGTGTCCCTGGCGGTAGACGGTCAGGGAACGAAGGTCGTCTGGATGGATGTTCCCGCTCAGTTTTTACTGGAGTGACAGCCCACGCTGCCATTTCACTTGCTCTCAGTCCAAACAAGGCGGGTGTTTCCTTGCTTGGTGTCGCACGGCTGACGCTGAACAACGGCCACAGTCACCGTCCGCACGGTGCCCCACAGGCAGCCTCCTTTCCAACCTACGGAAATGCAAGAGGACGACGGCTGCCGAGAAACGAAGAGCGTGTCACAGAGGCGCCTGCCTCGGCAGGAGGGCGTAAGGCCCGGCCGCCCGCAGCCCGACGGGCTAGTGCTCCGGGGAACGCTCTGCAGACAGGCCGGCCGCGGGCGCGTCTGAGAGCACACTGGGCTCCCAGACAGCGGCCCTGGTGCCTTGGGCTCCTGTGTCCCAGGCTGGTGTCCAGGGGCACAGAAGATGCTCTCAGAACCTTCATCCACATGGAAGCGTTCTCACCTGTGTCCTCAGGCCAGCGGTCACCACGTTTTGGGGACTCCGCGTTGTGGGTGTTCCCGGTCATCGGCAGCACGAGGGGTCGCACTCGCTCAGCCTGCGCCGGCACAGCGTCGGGCCTGCGCGAGGCAGGCGGGTTCAGCCGGGAAGGCTTCTGCAGCAGGCGGCTCGGCTGCATCGCCCTGGCGGGATCCGTCGCTGAGGGCAGGCCCCGCGCCCCTGCGAGCTGGTCGCCCCCAAGGCTCTGAGACCAGGGCCCTGGCCGGGACCCGGCCACAGCACAGCCGCCGCCTTCGGGTACAGTTGAGTCCTCCGTCCGCCTTCGGGTACAGTTGAGTCCTCCGTCCAGCTCGCCGCTGCTATGAGATCTCTGACCTGGTTGAGTCGGTTTTCTCATTGGTTTGTCAGAACATCAAGGTGTCACAATTTGTGGGGAATGATTCAGTCTGTAACACAAACACTCGCGGATTCAGTCACGTAACTATCAAGCCACAGGTGCGGGGGTGCCCTGCCCAGCGGCAGGGACATGCAGTGGGGACAGACCCAGGCATTTTCCCTGAAACTTTTTGCAAGCAGCTCTTAAAATTTTTAACTGTCTATGCAGTTCAAGAAAAAGCTTCAATTTATCGAATTAAAAGACATTTCAGTTCACATGCCTGTAATTAAATCCTACTACATGAAAAGTTCAGAACTGGGCCAGGATGGGTTCAGACCCTATGGCTGAATGAGTTGACAAGGAGCAGTTACAATAGATAAACTAAAAAAACCCACCCTCTTCCCAGGGATTAAGGGAGTATAGTAGTTGGAAAAAGCAAAACCCCGAGAAATCACAGCTGTCCCCTTGATGTGGTAGCTGTGTCGTCTGTAAGTGTCCTAGCGTCAGGGCCGTGGTCATTCGTGTCACTGGGCAACGTGGCAAGTGCAGAATCAGACCAGGGCAGCGTTGGCTGGGTGCCGACATGCCGGGTGGTATAAACAGCATATTTCTTAAATTCCGTGCTTGCTGGGGGCTCCAGTCAAAAGGAAATCTTTGAGAGATCAATTTTTCATCCAACCTACCAAAAAAGAAGGAAACCCACGGAGAAAGAGACTGAAATTTGAATGCAAAAACCCAAACACGCGGTCCCCTTTGTCAGCGTGGACGACCTCCCGAGTGACAAACCGGTGGATCTTCTCGGGGCCGGCACCCCCGGTGGCTGCCTCTGCACGGCGGGTCACCGCACACCTGGGCTCCATCTGCACCGGCGTCAACTCTTTCTTTAAAAATGTCAAGTTGTATTTGTCCAGAAAACATGTTAATTCATGGTGTTAAGGCCCCTTTAAGTCAAAGTTTGCAGACAGACCACTCTGTGTAATTGATTTGTCTTGGCGTGGCCACTAAGATGGCAAATACGAATGTCCCCAGGCACAGCCGTAGTGGTGTTTGGCTTTTGCCCGGTGCCCGTAGCACTTGGTTGTCAGCACTAGGTTCTCTCCCAAGACAAAGTTGTCCCTGTCGTTGTTTACAGACAGTGTCCCTCGGTGACCCTGGCATCTCTAGCTGAAAGGAGACAGTGACCATTCAAAGCAAAACAATACAGACATTGAGCAGAAAAGCCCTGTCACTCCAGGCACCGCTGTCCGTGTCCCGAGAATTGCGTTCGCGTGAATTTATCCCTCGGCACTGACGACTCAGTCAGCGCTGGCTGGGGGGCGCGGGGGATGGAACGAACCGGTGTGTGACCTGGTGACACAGGCGGGGGACGCTGGGCTGGGGACGCGGTGCTCACGCTCCTGCCTAACTCCCGTGTCTTCCTTTCCGCAGGGAGGAAGTCGCTCTGGCTCTCCCATGGCCAGACGCTGAGCCCACCTTGTTCCGGATCCTGCCCTCTGCTTCTCGACATAACTGCCTTACGACGTTACTACCCTCGCATGGACTAGCTAGTTAGAGCAAACGACCCCCCCTAATGCCTGTTGAGTTGAGCACGCGGCAGGGTCAGGCACGCGGCATCCTACTAGCAATTTCTGGCCGAAAGTTAAATGGAGAAAAAGAAAACAGAAAATGATTAAAAGTGTCACTTCACGTTGGAGGATTACATTTCCCGGGAGTGCTCACTCCCCGACACGCGCCCCAGAAGCACACGGCTCCCCGCAGGTCCGCGTGCACCGACGTCCCCCCAGGTTCCCCCTCCATCCTTGGACTTCCTTTTCGCCGTGACTGCGGCACCCCGAGCTTCCGCTGGGCACTGCCATCGACGCACACCGCTGTAGGGACAGAGAACCAGACGGGCGGGAGGACTGTTGTGATCCAAGCTTCTTTGGTTTTCTTTTCCTACCCTTCTCTCACCTCCTAAAGTGTATTTATTTCTCCTAACAGGATTAGACAGTCAAGGAGTGGCTTACTACCCGTGGGAGCTTTTGGTATGTGAAACTCGGGCCCGGGCGGCTGTTAGAGTCCAACGTGGGCAGCACAGAGAGGGGGGCGCGCCCCCAGGCCGCGGCTGCCCACCACCCCACTTAGCTGAATTCGTGCGTGGCAGAGAGAGGACAGGTGGCGAGTGCGGGCTGGGCACTGGCCTCATGCAGGAAACGGGGCCTGCTTGGAAACTGGGTGACGGAGATGTCCCACATGTGGCTGCGGGTTGTCGCTGTGGCCCCGCACGGTGGCGCCAGAGCAGCCTCCATGAACGACCTCGTTTCCAAACCAGCACCCACAGCCGGGGAGTCCAGGCAGACTAGTGCGTCTCGGAGCAGAACCGTAGTTCTCTGGTGGCCTCGCGGTGTTACACTGGTCACTTTTAGACGCTGCGTGTGGCCAGGGTACGCTTGCATGGCAGTGCACAATGGCAAACACTAACCCTCAGGAGAAGATAACCTCTCACCGCCTCACCTCCCAGCACGAGCCCGCCCTAGCGAGTAGGCTGGGGAGTGGCCATTCCTGAGTCACTGACCCAGACACCCGGGCCGCGGCCGGCCCCTGGAGAGGGAGAGCTCCTCCGACCGCGCTCGGCTAACCTCGGCTAACCTCGGCTGACGGCCCCTCCCGCTCCGCCCTCCTAACGTACTGACTCCCTTTTGATTTGAGCGTGTCTTTCGTGGCCCTCCCCAAGAGCCCCACACTGGCATCGTCCTCCCGTAGAACCAGACAAGGATAGTCGCCGTAACGCCAACACGCGTCCCTTTAATCCCGTGCTAACTCTGAACGCTTAGTGTGGGTTTAATATAACGTCTATTAATATATCGCCTCAATGATGAGAGGGTAAGAAAAAAAAGGAACAAAATTCCAGAAACGAAACGTCCACACTGTCCACCGTAAGCACTCTGCATCTCTGAGCGGGTCGCTGGCCGCGAGGTCTCCTGCGCGTCGACAGTACGCCCTGTTCTTGAGTATTGAAATAAAATAATAAACATTTAATGGTATTTGCACGGTGTCTTACTCTGTGCTGTGTGTGGAATACGGGCTCACATAAGGCAATGACCACGTCTCAAGAGCTGTGCGTGCGTCTGGTCGGGAGGCACCGGGCTGCCTGGCAGTGCCTGTTGGAGGGGCCTTGTCCCCCCGTGGTTGATGCATCAATAAAGGGAAGTGGAACGAGGTGGTCGTCAGGGCACCGATCCTCTAACGCACAAGGAAGAGATTTCTCCATTTATCGGAAGACGAGCTTCTAGAGTCCATTTGCGTCGGCAGCTTTGCTGGTGTGAGCCCAGGAATCCTGGGGCAGCGACTCCACGTTCCTCCGACAGTCGTGCACAACACGACCTGGTGTTTTGCTTATGGCTGCCTTTGGTTTCAAGAATTCCTTTTTGAAAAGATAAACTAGAATCCATTTTGGTTTTGTCTTGCTTATAACAGAACCACCGGTTCCTGTGCGTGTCTCGTGGTGGCCGTGGGAAGCGCCCGCCTTGTGAGCTCTGGGGAGGGAACGCACGTGGTGTGAGCGCAGGACGACGGGAGCCATTTCTCAGGGTGGCAAAGCGCCAGACTCCTGCGCAGGGACCTGAGCGCAGGGACTTGGGGGCGCCGGACACTGGAGGCAGGGTCAGGGTCAGGGTTAGGGGTACAGTTAGGGTTAAGGTTAGGGGTAACTGTCCAGCTCTCCTGGGACACCTCGCGCCACTTGCTTGCCCAGCCCCTTCCGGCTGAGGAATTTGGAAAAATCACACAAATACAATTACATTTTCAAAATTGTATTCTTTTAGTTGGCACATCTATTTTAATCTCACATGCGTAAAAAAGGCATTAAATGGTAAACCGAGGTCACATCCTAGAGTAGGCTAGCACTTTCGTGCTATTACAAACTCGGGTAAATATTTTTAAGTACAGAAAGCAGAACAGGAGCTACGTCTTGCTGAACACTTATCTGGGGAGGTCTGCGCAGTTGTCCTGAAGCTCACTGCAATTGATTTCCCAGGCTAGATCCCAGAGCCAGGCCTAGTGAGTGCTCTGCCCCCCTCACCGCGCTGGCTCGGCCTGAAGGGGCCTGGTGGGGCCTCGAGGGGCCCAGAGGGTCGCTGAGCTGAGCGGAACAGAAAACCACCACGACCACGCTCGGCGCCTTCTCGCAAGCATCTGCACAGCCACCGCCGCCCGTCCGGCTGAGCAGCGCGGCCGGCGTGTGCAGGCCCTGGGCGGGGTGTCTGCATGAAGACACTGACAGGCGGACGCGGGGCGAGACCTGAGTGGGGTCCGGGGTGGTGAGGATGTGGAGACTTATTTGTACTCTGCTTGCAGCTTTTCTGTAAGTTTAAAACTGCTTCAGAAATAAAGGTTACGTGAAAAGGATAAAGACTTTGGATTATGAAATTTGAGAAAGATGATGGAAAGAGAACTTAGCGACATGGTGAAGAGTATCTTTCGGCAGCTGGCCGGTGGTGTTCCGTCTTCACCCAGAACTACCAAAAAACCGGCTGAGATGACATCAAAGTCACCTGTCTTGTGTTAAATACAAGAATTTCTTTCTTACAGAGCTTGGTTACCAGAATAACCGATGATTCCTATGTTCTGATTATTATAGCAGTAGCATAAAACCATCTCTCCTGATTGGCCGGAATAACAAAACTGGGGGGACATCTGTTAGCTGGTAGAAAGGAGTGTATGACGCAGCACTGGTGGGTGCACATGCCACATTTACCAGCCGTCCTTAGGGACCGAAGACACGTAATACTTTAAAGGTCCCAGGTAGCGGTAACAGCTCCTCCAAGACAGGAACGGCACTACGGATGGTGTGGAATAATCAGTAATGTTGGTAAAAAAAAAAAAAAAAAAAATCCGTCCATACGCTGAGTCAGGGCTATTTCCAGGCCTCCAGAGCGAATTGACCACATCCTGCCAACAACCGTGAAGCATCTTTCTTAGGACTCTACCCCACTTTCCTCCCAAGAAAGCCTGCGGTTTCCCGGACGCCGCAGGCAGACACGGGCCAGAGACAAAGGGGTTCACTGCCCACAGTCCTAGGAGTAGCCAGAGTATCGGCACGTGTGTGGACACCTCAGCCCTCGCTCCCGAAGGGTGACACAAAGTGTGCAGGGAACACTGCACACCCAGAGGGTCGCATCGTAGCTCAGGGAGCCAGAACCTTTCCCAGTAGATAGCGCGCCTGCCCGACCTCGGCCTCAGAGTGAGGCATCATCCTGACTAGGGTCGGTAAACAGGCAGCCCTCTGCTGCGGGTGGAGGCCGTCCCTGTCCTCTCGGGCCGCGCTCCGCACGGACAGCCTTGACAAGACCAGCACGAGTCACGGGGCTTTGTGTTGCTCCTCGGACATGCAGAGACTCCAGACCCCACGCAGAGCTGTCTCCCGACTCTCGTAGCCCATTAATTGAGACTAGCAGTAGAAGGCAGAACTGGACAGGAGCAAGTTTAATCAACTGATTTTCTAGACAAGGAGACAGGCCCAGAGAATTTGACTGACTTAAAGACAGGCAGCTGTCCGTGTCAGGAGTGGGAGTGGGAGTCCCACGTCACCTTCCTCCCAGCTTTGCCGCGCACGTCACACTCGTACACGCGTGCCTGTACTTGGCTCTCACTGAGAACGCTCTCCGAGTACAACAGAGTCAAGCATTCGGGAAAACTCACCGGGAAAAGCACTTTAAATAGTTGAGAGAATCCACTGTAGTGGGAACAGATTTTCTATAATTTGATAGTTTTTTAAAAAAAACTACCCTTCGGCTACTCACTGTATTTCAAAAAACCATTACAGGAATATGCCTCCCACAAACAAAACAAGCAACAAGAATGGTAAAATAACTCCTTACCATTCCATCCGAGCCACGTCCAGGAAGTTAAAATCACTTTAGGCTATTTCAGTTCAAAAATGCGTGGAGTCCCTACCCTGTGCTAGGAATCAGGTGACCTAAGGAAAAAAGATATATTTAATTTGTTATTTCAACAGGGTAATGATTCTATAAACTACAAACTTGTAACAGTTTGGAAACGTAATACGTATTTTAAAAGAATTTGATGATATAAACCAACTCCCTTGGTATTTCTGGAAAAGCCCAACCCCCGACGTACCTCATAAACAGACAAGTACCTTTCTAACGAGAGAGCAGGCAGAGCACATCCTCCAGGAGGAAACACGGCATCCTCACACCATGTTGATCCCACGGGCTTGAATTTATTGCAAACTCGACATGGCGTTGCGTTAACCCGCACTGAACGTGTTACCTGGAGAAAACGTCTTCTTTAAACAGTTATAACTCACCCGAAACCCAAATAAGTAAATATACAGGAGTTTTAAAATACGAAAACTATCTTTATTATTTTTAAAGCCAGCACAGTGGCTTTTGGCATAACTATTCATTTCTAATACAAAACTGGATTAAATAAATAGCATCCAATGTATAAATAGACCATGAAACAATTTCGAAGATAAAAAGAGAACTCTTCTGTAAATAAAAAAAAATTAACTTTAAAAATTTTCTTTACTGGTGAGTCAAGAAAGAATCACTATGTCACTTTAGAATTTGTCAAATATAATACAAATCTTGATTTAATACAAAAGTCTTCATGCGGTAAAGTGTTACACATAGAAAAATTAAATAGCAAAATCTCATATGATCGCTGCCTATTGCTCCTGCCATTTTACGCTAACCTTTACTTTTTACCACTTTATTTATTAGTCATCCACGTAAAAAACTACCGCGATGCCTCTGCGTCGGGTGATCGTGGAACAGAGCAGATGAGTGGGCGTGCCCTTCTGGGAACGTGTGTGTCTGAGGAAGGGACACAAATTCAGAGGGCAGACGATGACCAAGTAGGACGTGGGGCTTAGAAGCCCTGCCAGGGCAAAGCAAAGGCTTCGCTAGGGATGCGTGGGGCATCCAACGTTACAAAGTATTTTGTTGCTCCCACTTTTTCAACAGCGAAGGCTCCTGCACAGTAGCCTTCGGCATGTGATTTTCATTAGAATAAAGATAGATGCAGAGGCCCCAGATAAGACAAATGACATTAAACTGGGTTATGTATGTAGTTGCTCTGGAAATTTTTTTCCAAAAAATCCAAAGCACCTACCGTACTTTGAATGTGGATCGGAGAACTCTAGATTCACAAGTAGCAGTTGTATAATCTCATCTCCGCCTCACTTACTATGCAATAGGTTTTAGAAAAAGGATAAATTAGCAATGACCGACCAACCCTTGGATTAACTTTTTCTGGTGGGGGGAGGGCACGGTATTGATTTTGAAATAGGCTTCAGGGAAAAAAAAATCATGTAAGAAGCAGGCATGAGATCCTTAAAAATAGTAACTAGAAAGCAGTTCTATGTATTTTATATATTTCCTTTAAAAAGTTACTTACATAAATCTGTGTGATGGTCACTTAATGTTAAAATGTGTATCTTAGTAAGTTGCACCTATCCTCTAAAAAAGAGGAAAATCCGTATGAACAGAAATCCACCTCTACTTAAAATCTTGTACCTGTACTAACGCATGCATCTCTTGTACATAAACGCTGTAGGAGAATTCAAATGAAGCCATAGAGCACTAGCTATGATTTCAAAAACCAAATTTCCTTAAAAATGACAATGAGGGGGTACAAAATATTACACCAAAGAAACATGTCCTAGTGAACGCTGAATACAACGGAAATGATTCCTTAGCACAGGGTCCCCACGGTCCACCAGCACGACATCTGGGGACAGCGAAGGCGGCCTCTGACAAGCCCCTCGCTGACCGGCGGCAGGCCAGCCGGTCACCTGTCTCGGGGTTTCCTCCACTCTGATACTCGTCAAACACTCCAGGTATTTAAAAGGGCAAGAGTAGAGCTCGTTGGGGGAGGGGGAGGATCCGAGTTTACATTTTTGGAAACATGTTTTTAACCTATCGCCATTCTATGACAACAGGACCACTTACGCAGTGTCTAGCTGGCCGGATTCTACACAGGCTACATTCCTCTGCGCCCCCAAATCTACGACCCAGTTTGACGTGTGGTATCTTTGGAAGGGGACTTCATCCCCTGAGCTTATTTAAGTGCTTAGCAGTTACTTTAGGATGAAAGTGGGTTAAAGAAGTTATGAACGTTCAAGAGGTTCCTTCCATGTGCAGCCTACTGTTGACTAGGGCAGCTGAGGAAAGCAGACGAGAACGGGGACGGCACCCGCACGGCCTGTGCTAATGCGCGCGACCTGCCGTCGCTGGGCCGAACCCTGATCTCTGAAGTGGGAGGCCTGTCCGATAGACATCGCAAGGGCAAACTTTCATTGTCTGGACTTCGCGGAGGTCAGTGAAAATTATCATTGAATTTCTTTTCTGTTAAAAATATCTGAACTTGAAATTAATTAATTCATGTGCCAAACTATTTTATCTTGAACATTTTCAAAGAAAAAAATTAATCACATTTCCTAACTTCATTTTTTATTTATTGTTATTCCAAAGCAGATATGCTATGATGAGATAGTTCTAAAAATACAGTTCTCTATCCTCAAAACCCTGGTTATAGATGAGGCTAGAAATCTCTTTTCTAAGAAAAATTTTTAACCAACCAGTACAATATAAAGATCAACCTGTATCCCACAAACATTCAAGTGAAATTATGTCCTTTTAAAACCTTATATTTTCAAGGAATGTTTTTGCAAAGAAGCAGCTTTTATAATTAGGGAGTAAATAAAAATAATACATAAATGTCTTGTGTTTGCCTGCTAAGAAATTGAGAGAAGACACAAAATGGAATTATTGATAGATTTTTTTTTTTCTTTAACCAAAATAAAAGTAGGCTTTAGATTCACCTGTTAAGGCCTTAAATAGGCAGTTAACCAACACAGTTCACTAAACTATGCTTTCTATACAATTAGGAATTAAACAACCCCTTTTAAAGATGTCCTGAGATGACATTTAATGCTAAAAGTAAAATAAATAACCCAACAAGAACAAAAACTTAAAATTTCAACAATTTCAACTTTGGGGATATTTGTTCACCAAAATTAATCAACATTTCTAAAATATTTTAATACAAAATTATAAAAGAAAAAGTGCATTAAAAGCAGAAACTTTAAAACTCCAGCACAATTACAATTATTCTGAATATACTGACTACAGCCAGGTATACGCACTGACATTCAAGGAAACCTCAGGATTTATAATAAGTCCAGTATCACAAGAATAAGTCAAATAAGGCTTTTTTTTTTTCTTAAAAAAATATACAATACACAAAGCAGTTTGGAAAAAAAAGTAATATTATTTAACAGTTTTCTGACTTAAATATTTTCACATAACAAAAGTTTTCATATCACCAGCAATATTATTTATAGACATATGCCAAAAGTGAACAAAAACAAAAAAAATCAAAAGATGCCCTTTCAAAATAACGGTGAAATGTCTGTTTCTTTAGGAATCTGAAATGAGCTCTCTTAATATACAAAGTCCATACAATATTTATAATAAAACTACTCTCTTCTGAAGCAAAGGAGGCAATGAGAGAAAATAAAGGCAATTATTTTTCAGGAGAAAAAAATAAAACCCAGCTTTACATTACAATGGAAAAGATATCCATTTATCAATAAAATGAATACAATACTGATCTGAAGTGCTCGCAGGGAGGTGAAACTTGGATGCTCTTTCTGCAACTGGGACTAGTGCTTATATTTACAAAATATACTGTTCAGCCACACAGAGGCCCATATATCTGTTTATGTACATATGTACTTATATATAGAACATATAAATAATTTCAAAGGAAACATTAACATGAAGTAAAGAACCTTCCGTCTTTGGAATGCTGTAGGAACGACGTGCACGCACTCTGCCCCAGCACGGGTGAGATTTGGTTTGGGACATATTTACTGTGGCACCATAGATGATATTATAGAATTCCCTGAAATAAAAAAATACATCTGTTTGTGCATGAAGAGAAAATCATGGGGTTGTTATGAACTCTTAAACTACAAATATGCTTCTTACTTACTGAGGTGGAGAGGGCCACAGTTACTTGTTCCTAGGAGACAATTCTGTTATTTCCTATTTGCAATGTATGGCTTGTGCTTCTGCAACAATCTAACCCATGGACCTGAACACAGATTCACGCAGTAAGTTGTCGCCATCCTCTGAGGACAGTGTAATCCTTTTTTGTGAGTCAGGTTTACACGATTCCCTATGTTGACGCCCCCAGATACTGCATTCTCGGAACTAATGATTAGATATTTGTAAAGAAGAGAGAATTGGTCCAGCCATCTCTCAAATTATTAGTTATATTAACTTATGGTGACTAAAAAGAGTCGATTTCCACTAATTTTCAAAATGCACAGAGAAAAACGTGGAAAACACTTCCCTGTGTAACATTTTTTTCTGAACTTCATGCACCTCTTATGTTTGTTTGTAAGCTATGCTTCTTATAACAGAAAGCATGAAGGAAAATCTTACGTACTTTTCCGTGTTAACGTCTGTCTTTGCTAATACAAAGAAATCACACTACAATGAGAGTCAGATCCAGTTAATGTCTGTTAACTAGATACACTGGCCGTGGAGGAGAAGATGAAACTGCCTATTGTAGTACCTGAGTTCAGTGATTTGTAGACAAATGAGAACAATGCGTTTACATTTTTCCCAGTTTTTTTCCTATAAGTCTCTGAAAGACAATGATTCTTTAGATAATTCTATAGCTACAAAACTATTATGGTAACATTTTTAACACTTGAAGCCGTAAAACAGAAGTTCCAAGTGCTTCGTTCTTCACGAACTGTAACTTCAGACACGCTGTTCCAGGCGTCCTCTCGGCTCGCGTCAGAACACGTTGGTGAGGGCCTGCCACTCGCCGGCGGCCTCCTGCACGACCTCCTCCAGGTGCAGGGTGCGGCTCAGCTCCTCGCCGTCCTGCTCCGGGTGGCCGGCGGACTCCTGCAAAGCTCCTGTCACGCAGCAGGGAAAACACAGCCTCAGACCGTCAGTAGCACAAAATGATTCACATTCAATAAACGAAGACTTCTTGAGCTAAGCACTGTGCCAATTTCCAGCAGTCTCTGATTCTTTGTTTGTTTAAAGGGCACTATTTATACCTATTCTGAGTAACAGGGTTGCTGGGAAAATTCGATGAAATTACTTATGTGGTACTGCTTAGCAAACATTAAAGCACCATCCAATTACTGTCAAAAATATTCCAACTGCTTCAATCTGCACCTGACCACCACATGGAGGGGTGTATATGTTATATAAATGGAATTTGTGTGTCCAATGATATGTAAATTATATACAACGATGGACACATTATATGTTAGCTATAACAAATGAAATACAATTGGCAGAATTAATAGAAAGGGACAGGCAGAATATTAAGGTGAGGAAAATAGCGACCTTTTATAAATCCCCACAGAATAACTTCACATGGGCTAAAAGTAATTTACAATTTAGAATACAATAAACTGAGAGAGACAATTAAAAAAATAATAAATAAATAACTAAATAAAGTCTTCTGGGTGAATAGAGATAAGCAATTTCTGAACTGATCTGGTTTCCGTGCCAAAGAAAAAGGAATACTTGAGCCACAGGTTGAACCATCTGTCGGCAGCAGTCGCTGTCACGTGAGCTCGAACACACGAGAGAACCTGCACTAGACGCCCACGGCCATCGAGGTTACGTAATACAGCCTCGGTGATGAACCGCTAACGTTAATGTTGACATGCATAATTTCTCTAGCAGAAAGTAAAGCAAGAGGCACCAGAGTGCAGATGTTAAAGAGAAAAATTATCCTTTTTTCCTTCCTTGAAAACTCCCCACAAAGGAAGCTGTACCCCTTGGGTTCCCAACACACCCAGAAGCCACACCACTCAGTGCACGACGCCTGTCCAAGGTCACTTACGGAGCACTCCGAGGGCTCTGCTAGGATTTTATATCTCTAACTCCCGTGCACAGCTGCTCAGCCTGGTCTAGGTAATCTGTTATCATTCCTTCCTCAGATAGAGACGGACGGAATTGCCAGATTCCGCGCGGCAAACAAAGAGGAGAATCAAGAGACAAAAGAGACAGGCAGCGGCTCACACCCCGATACCCTACTCTGAGGGCACCGACATTGGTGAATCAACAAAGAGAAACCAAGGCCCATCTGCAGTTTGCGCAGCGTCAACAGGACGCGGCAGGAGTGCTGGGCCAGACTCTGCCGCTTCTGTGCGAGCATCAGGCCGACCCTGACTCCAGCACTTGGTGCCCCAAGCACTGAAACACTCTTAAACTGCACACTTGTGGGGATGGCGGCTTCGAGAAACGCCGTTCAGACAGACAGCACTGCCACTCCGGGCTGCTGACTGCTCACTGCAGAAAGCCCTGACCAGGGAGAAACCAGCTGCTCAGAAATGCTGCCTTCGCCCAGGCTCAGGGCGGCCACCTTGCTCCCAGTAAGTTTCTGCGTCCTTGCCAAAATAAACCAGAAATTTAATATAATCAAATTCCGAGTGTGGCTGGGAAAGAGGCGGCAGCCCATAGACAACCCCGAAGACTGTATACACCAAGTATTAAAGTAGCAAAAGCACAGGCTTCCAGTCCGTAAAACGGAGGTTATGCCACGCACTACACAACGCACAATCACCGTGTGAACCAAAGACGCCTGGGACGTCCCAGCCACCCGAGCGCACGCACTCTCAGGCAAAGCGTGCTTCTCACCCGTGTAGCTGTGCGCCCGTTTCATGTGCAGCTTCATGTTGCTCTTCTGTGTGAACCCCATGACGCAGTAGTCGCACTTGTAGGGCCTCTCGCCCGTGTGCTTCTTCATGTGCACCTGCAGCGCGCTCTTCTGGTTGAAGGCCTTCTCGCAGAGCGTGCAGTGGAACGGCCGCTCGCCTGCGCAGAGAGAGCCGCGCGTCAGTGTCTCTGCGAAGACCGAGTCTCACATACGAAACAATTAACTCTGAACAAAGTATGCGACGTTTTAAAAGATCATGGTGATGCTCTCGCTGGTGCCATCACGCGGATCGCCATTCGACAGGACTCCAGGGAAGCCGCTCTGTGTCAAGTCACAAAACTTTAAACAAAAGATACTGAAAGCCATGGAAGCATCCAGAAATAAAAGTTGAGCATCTGTGGCTTAAACAGAATGTTTCCAATACATTTTGGGCAACAAAGCAGAAAGACATTGAAGACATGAGAATACTAAATCCACTTAATAAAAACTATGATTTATTTAATATTTTTAAAGTGCTACTTAATTGCTTTCAAGCTGACACAGAAACCGACAAGTGCAAGGAAGACCTGCCGAGTCTGGAGTCCTCTGTGAGCTGCCCGGACGAGCCCCAGGGCAGACTAGGTGCCAGCTCTCCTGTGTCCCCGCCTCCCTCCCCATGGGCTCCTCCCCAGGCTTGGCACGGCTCCCCGCTGTGCCTAGAAGGTTCTTTTCTACCCACTCTGCTCGGCTGCCTCTTACTCTCGGGCTGGTCCCTTCCCCGGGGGCTTCTTGGTTCACCCTTAGGCCGTTGGCCCCGGGTTGTTTTGAAGGCCCTTGTTTTTATCCACACAGGGTCTGACGGTCTGGCTCCCTCCCATGTAGTGTCCACGACACTACACGACATGAGGTTTCGCCCTAGCATGCCTGTGATAGGCAGGGTCCTAAAAACAGCCCAGGCTTCGTGCCCTAATCCCCAGGACTGTGACTACCCTGACGGCATGTCTTGTTCCATGAGTAATCACGGCTACTCGCAGCTGGCTTTGGGGGAGAAGGGAGATTAGCCAGGTGGGCTCAGCCTAATCCACGAGCCCTTTAACCGCTGCTTCTCCGGCTGGAAACCGTCCTACCACCCCCAGGAGGTGGACGCCGCCGACGCCCTGGGTAAGCCCGGAAGCAGAGTCCCCCCAGAGCTGAGAACGGCCAAGCCCATCTGGCCTTCTGGCCTGAAGCAGCACGGGATGGCCGATGGAGGCCGTGTACAGCTGCTAAGGTTGTGGCAACTTGTTAAGGAACAAAAGGAAACAAATACCATGCGCCACCCCTTCCTGCTTTTTAAATCTCAGCCAACTGAGTATGATTTAAAACATAACCACGAAATGTCTGGTTAATTCGTTCCCCGAGCCCTCGGAGGTCAGGCAGGGCTTGCGAGAAAGCCCGAGAGGCTGCAGGAAAGGGCCAAGCCCTGCGCCCAGGGAGCCGACTGATCGCGAGAGAAAAGGACTGAGAAGCTTCCCGGGTACGTGGACAACTGAACAGGAGCCACTGCAGAGCCCAGGCCCACGGACCGGAGTCTCACACGTCTGCACGGTCAGGACTAAGAGTTCGAGAAATGGTTCAATCCCTTCAACGTGCTCTAAGTTCACACGGAAGGATGTAGAATACTTAACCAGTATTTCCACCAAAAAGATTAAAATGTGACCAAATGCTCACTCCCCCAATGAATATAAAATGGCATAAGGTAATCTAGTTAAAAAAATAGGCTATCGAGTTGAGTGTTTTCCTATCAAGATATCTTTTAAAGGCCTCTTGGGGAAGAGACGTGCAGACCGCCCCCTGAAGATGAGTCATGAGGTGGCCGCGAGACAAGGGCTGGGAGGACACACAGGCAGAGAGAGAGCGCGCTGAGAGCAGAGGCGCAAGGGAGCAGGTGACTGCCAACCTGAGGCACCCATGCAGGGTGCAGCGGGGACGAGCTGTGGATGGTGAGGGCTTGATGGGCACAGGGGGACTCCTGGGCATCTTGAGGGGTGAAGGAGAGGGACCCTGTGCTCACACCTGCCTCCCAGGCTTCCAGTCTGCCGGCTCCCGAACACGGGGCTGGAGCAGCTGCATGGAGACCAGGAGTGAAGCCACCCAGGTGTCCCGCTGCCACCACAGCAGGTGGGGCGGAGGGAGCAGAGAGCCGCCTGGATGCAGCTGGAACCCCTGGCCCCTGGTGACTGTCAGATGCCGGGGGTGATGCCCAGAAGGACGGGGCAGCCAGAGGCTGAGTGGGGGCAGCAGAGAGACCAGCCCAGGGGTGGAGAGGCGGGAGAGCTGCGTGCTTCCTTGTTCTGTTGTTTTTTTCTCTAAGACAAGGGGCTTGAGCAGATTTAGGTGGTGAAAGGAAAAGCCAGCAGAGCCGGGAAGTCTTAGGACAGAAGAGAAAGGCTAGGAGAGGAGCTGGGCCTGGCGGGCCGTCTGTGTGCTCCACCAGGAGGGCAGGGACTATGTCCAGGCCTCCCCCTTCCAGGACAGCACAGTAGTCCTTGCTGACAGCTCCTATTTCCCATGGTCATGATGCAAATAGCAAAATCTTCTACTTGAAAAAGTTAAGACAATAAATAGATCAAATATCAGGGGAAATGGAACACATGGACCTTGCTTTACAAATAACGCATTACGCCGTACATGAACACTTACGCGTGGAATCCCGTTTTCTCATCAAGGACGGCTACTTCACAGAGTGACACAACAGAAGGCGTCACCCCTCATTACCTGTGTGGATGCGGCTGTGGCGCTCCAGCTGGCTGGGTTTGGCGAACGCCTTTTCACACGTGTCGCATTTGAACACTCTCGGCTTCTGAGAGCTCAGAGAGGGGCCGGCTTGGTGCGTCTGCATGTGCTCCTGGCAGAGACAACACGGAGAAGAAGAAGCACTTAAGATCAAAACAGAATCTTAGAGATTCAAAATGGCAAAGGAAAATCAAATCACAAAAATTCAAGCTTCTCGAGGGTGGAGCCGTGAGTCTCTGGGACCACCTTCTTTGCACACAGCAGGCACCCACTGTTTGCTGCACCGACAGGAGTGCAGGGGAGGTCTCTGGAGGGACAGCCTGCTCAGGGGGCTGGGACTCTGGGGAAGGCTGGGTCAGAGAGGAGGCAGCGACGGCCCCGTGGGCCTGCCTCCCAGGACACAGGAGCTTAGCACCTCTCCTTTGGGCCAGGGACAGCAATGATGGTTTCCTGGTGGGGCTGGCGGCCCTGGGCTAGTGGGCGCAGGGCTGGGTGGAGACCAGAGGGGCACCCGCCTGCCTCTAACGGCTGAGCAGGGCATGCTGTATCTCTCTCCCATCGCTTCCTCAGTGACCTGAGGGGATGTGCCCCGCCTGACCCCTGGAGAGAGGGGCTCTGCCTGTGAAACCCAAACCTACCCTTGTTCTTCCTGTCCGACCCCCTCCCTGCCCAGTCATGGTGATGCTACTTAGAGTTGAGAGTCTATGGGGACTGCAACTTTGGTTCTGATCTGTTCAGGGTACACGACAGGCCCACTGCAACTAAAACCACCCAGGAAATGCATTCACACCCCCTGGCTGTTCCCTTAAAAACACAGAGAAGCGTATCCATCAGGTCTCTTATTCCCTGACTTTTAGCAAAACTTTTAGCATCTGCATCTCTAGCCGTAGCGAGCAGCTGCAGTGCTGCAGGCCTCCCCAGGGCCTACCTTGAGGTGCGTGGCGCGCTTGAACGCCTTCCTGCACACGTGGCAGCCGTGGATGCGCTCCTGGCCGTGAACCTCCTTGCTGTGGTGCATGAGCACCGCGGCCGACGAGAAGGCCCGCTCACACTCCAAGCACTGGTGCGCCCGGCCCTCCTTCTCGGGCTGGCCGCCCTGGGCCAGGTTCCCAGAGATGTCAGCTACCTGGAGTGAGTCAGGAATTCTGTGACTCTCCATGGACTTCACCAGACCAGCGCAGTTTGTGAACTGGCAGACCACCGCTCGGTAACAGGCACATGCCCACGTGGATATGCCAAGCCCGTGCTGCACGAGTTTTGTCATCTTGCTAAGTTCAGCCAGGGACACTTCCAGTGTTACATTAGACCAGAACGCACGCAGCTGTCTTGGGTTACTCGAAACGTACTGGCCACAGCAAGATTTAGATAACACGATAGTGGTCATCGAGTGAGCTGTGCAGCCAAACTGACCAGCTCCAACATTACTGTCCCGGCCACTCTGGGCTAGTACTTAACCACTCTATGCCTGTCTCCTCATCTGACACGGAACAACTCATACCTACCTGTCAGGTTGGTGAAGGTTAAATCAGGTAATACAAAGGTGCTCAGAACAGTACCCGGCACACAGAAAGCACATAAAGTACAGGAATTAAGTAAAGTGTGCCTTGGCATTGAATTAGGAACTCTCTGAAACACAGGAGACTAATAAGGTTTCACTACAAACGCATCATAACAAAGAGAGTTTAAAAATAATGATCAAGAAGTCAATGCTTTTTCTGTCTAGCAATCCATGTGTGCAGTGAACAGTAAACTCACCAGGCGTGGGGTGTTCAACCACGCACACTCCAAAGTACCCCTGACCAGCTCTTGGACATAAACTACAAACCCCTGAAATATCCTGGCAGATAAGAGTATATTTTAATTCCCAGGACCTTGGGTGATGCCAGATAGTTTGTGCTAACGATGTGATTCACAGCAAAAGTCTGGTTTTGTTTCACCTGGGGCCTGGGCCACACTGCATCAGTTTGGCCTGGGGGCCTGGGGGCTGGAGACAGTGTAGCAAAAGTCAGCCTCACAGGTCCTCCACACCGGACACCAGGGCTCCGCTGCGCAGCGTTCCCGGGAGAGCCAGCACGATTCGTGTGACTCCACTGGGAGAGGACACCAGGACGGGTGCGCCCGGCGTTCTCCCCACTCCACCCCGTGTGCCTTTCCTTTTGCTGGTTCTAATCTGTACCTGCCACTGTAACCACGAGTATAAAAACCAGAACCACGAGTACAAAAATCAGAACCACGAGTACATCAGATTTTTCTGAGTCCTGTGAGACCCTGTAGTGAATCCTCAAACCCGAGCGTGGTGGCCAGACACGAGTGTGTCCAAGTTACACAAACTGGTATTCAGCTACACGAGCCCTGGTTACTCAGGCCGGACTGGGGGAAACCCAGTGTCTAGTTTCTTTATGAGAAAGTCCTTATCCTACTGAAAACCAGTAAGTAATCACTCTGAAAACTCATTCGCTAAAAATGCTTAAGAATAAAGTTTAATACTTCTCACCTTCAGAGACTATTTATCATCTGTGCTTTAATTCTGACTCTAGAAAGTTTTAAGGAAAGAGTTTTTAGACTTTTCTATATTTAGACTATTTACTAAAACTTTTGGCCCCAAAAAACATGCATTTTAAGGAAAAAGACTAGCCCAATGACAAATAGGTGTTATACACACACCTACCCAAGTGTATGTGAAAAAATGTCATGAGACGACAGAATCAGCAACGACGTTACAAGAAAATCTGCAAAAATAGCTAAATGCAAGTAAACGGCTGTGTGAAGTCTGATCAGTGGGCAAATACACGACAGTAACGGATTTAAAACTAGACTTGCACGTCACCGATTGCTCCATCTAATTCTGTGGTACTAAAGCCTCATCCCCTAAAAAACGAATCCTGGAATGAGTAAACTCTCGCGTCTGCCATTGCACACGCCCGCTCAGGGGGCCCCCACAGCCCTCTCCCACGCCCCCCTCCACACCAGAGCTCGTGAGTGTGAGCCCCGTACCTGGTAGGCTATTTCTTCACAAGGAGCGGCTGGCGACTGCGGGGTGTGGCTCACCAGGATGACCTGCGGGGAGCCCGCTCCACCTCGGCCTGAGAGAGGGGGGTCTGCGAGCAGCGCTGGGAACTGCTGGCCCTGGCGGAAGACCATTATTATTTTAGGAGTGGTAACACACGCAGAGTGAGTCACAATTTAAAAGATCTTGTACGGTGCAGCCACTTCGGGAAACAAGCTGGTCGCTCCTTTAACAGTTACCCACAGAGCCACCGTTTAACCCAGGAACTCGAGAGAAATGAAAACTGACGTCCACTTGAACCCCTGTGCACACGTGTACACAGCAGCGCAACTGTCACAGCCAAAGACGGGACCAGCCCCGATGTCCACCTGCTGGTGAAGGCATAAACCCACCATGGTACACGGGAACATTCTCTGGCAACAAAAAGGCATGAGTTGGCACTACCGAAACAGGCACAACACGGAGGAACTTCACAAGACTATGCTACATGAAAAAGAAAACAGTCACAGAAGACCACATGTTGTATGATTCCATTTGTATGAAACATCCAAAAAAGAGAAATCCACAGAGATACGGAGGACGTTAGTGGCTGCCAGGGGCTGGGGGCAAAGGAGCCTCAGTGAGGGGAACATGAAGCCACCGCTAATGGGTCTGGGTTTCTTTGGGGCTTAAGGAACTCTCTAGAATAAGGTTATGGTGACAGTCATACAACTCTAAATATACTAAAAACCATGAAATTGTATACTTTACATAAACAGATATATCATTAAATAGAAAGGATGAGCAATATTTGGTAGCACAACAAAGTATCTATCATCAACAGTAAGTTAGAGTACACTTTAAAATAACTAAAAGAATGGAATTGGAATGTTCCTAACACAAAGAAATGACTAATCCTTGGGGTGATGGATACCTCAATTACCCTGATTTTATTAATGCACATTGTGTGACTGTACCAAAACATCACATGTGTCCTATAAATACAGACAGCTATTATGTACCCCTAATTAACAGTAAAAAATTTTTAAAAAAGAAAAACATTGAAAATAAATAAACAGGTGAACTTCTGGTATGTCAACTATATCTCAAAAGTTTCTGTGTGTGTACATATAAAAAAAAGTTTATTTGTTTGAAAACACACACACAGTTTTGCTCTGCTCTACAAAACCACCGTCTTTTACCACTCCCGCACACCTCGGCTATGGAGTGACTCTGAGCAACAGAGAGAGGTGAGGAGGACAGGAGCGTGGAGGGAGGGTGAGAAGAGAATGTACTGCAAATGGTGAATTTACATAAATAACTCAGCATGCCATCTAAATTGCTAAAATCAGTGCTGATTCTGGACATATTTTACACACAGTTAGAAGTGCAGCTGATCACACAGAACGCAGCTGATGTCACCGGCGCCCTGAGGTTTAAGGTGAGACATGTTTCTCAATGTTGTAGAAGAACTACGCAAGCTGAGCCCCCAACAGGGAAGACGAGAATTGAGGAGGGATCAGGAAAGAGAAACAGGACTGAGCTGGCATTTAAAAAACTTTCATCCATCAGAGGACTTTAGCTCCATTTCTTATGGGAAAGACACTACCTAAGGCAGGTAGCAAAATGGAGCCAAAAAATTTACAAAGTCATCATCAGAGATTCTAGAAAAGAGAGCTCCTTAAATTGACTTGGATTCTTTACTTCCCTTATGCACCTTTTTAAAAAAGTGAAATTAGGTATCTCCATATAACAGCCTAATTTTTTCCACATAGACTAAGAAAAATCCTTACCTACACTAATATAGCTTTATGTTCACTATCCCTTTTAGATAGGGAAGTTCATTGAATATCGCTATTTTCAAATGCCAATTACTTTAATCATCCCATTTATTTATTTTTGTTGTTGCTGTGATTGCCTTTGGGGTCTTCTTCATAAATTCTCTGCCTAGGCCGACAGCTATATGAGTTTTTCCAACCTCTTCTTCTAGAATGCTTATAGTTTCATTCCTCATGAGTTGATTTTTGTGAGAGGTGAGAGGTGCAGATCCCGTTTCAGTCTTCTACATGTGGCTATCCAATTTTCCCAGCACCATTTATCGACTAAGGGATTCTTTTCCTCAGTGTACGTTTTTGTCTGCCTTGTCAAGTATCAGATGGCAATATGAGGATGGTTTTATATCAGGGTTCTCTGTTCTCATCCATTGGTCTATGTTTCTGTTCTTATGCCAATACCATGCTGTGTTGGTTACTATAGCCTTGTAGTATAGCTTGAAGTCTGGTAAAGTGATGCCTCCTGATTTGTTCTTATTGCTTCAGGTTGCATTGGCTATTCGGGATCTTCTCTGGTTCCATACGAAGCATAGAATTATTTTTTCTAGATCTGCAAAAAATGACATTGGTATTTTAATGGGAATTGCACTGAATCTGTAAATCTCTTTGGGCAGTATAGACATTTTATTAATAACAATGTTGATTCTGCCAATCCATGAGCATGATATACTTTTCCATTTGTTTATATCCTCTGCGATTTCCTTCCTCAGTGTTTCGTAGTTCTCACTGTAGAGGTCTTTTCCCTCCTTGGTTAAATATATTCCTAGGTATTTTATTTTTTTTTTTTGCTATTGTGAAAGGTATTGAGTCTTTGATTTGATTCTCAACTTGACTGTTACTGGTGTATAGGAATGCTACAAATTTGTGTACATTGATTTTTATAACCTGAGACTTTGCTGAATTTATTTATCAATTCCAGGAGTCTCTTGGCAGAATCTTTGGGGTTTTCTAGATATAAGATCATATCATCAGCAAAGAGCGATGGTTTGACTTCTTCTATCCCCACTTGGATACCCTTTGATTTCCTTCTCTTGTCTGCTCTGGCAAGGACTTCCAGCACTATGTTGAACAGAAGTGGTAACAGTGGGCAACCTTGTCTGGTTCCAGTTCTAGGCAGAAATGCTCTCAATGTTTTCCTGTTCAGTATGATGTTGGCTGTGGGTTTGTCATATATGGCTTTTATAATATTGAGGTATGTTCCGTCTATGCCTATTTTGTTAAGAGTTGTTACCATAAAAGGGTGCTGAGTTTTATCAAATGCTTTTTCCATGTCTATCAAGAGGATCATATGGTCTTTGTTTTTCCTTCTATTTATGTGGTGAATCACATTTAATGATTTGTGTATGCTGAACCATCCTTCCATCTCTGGAACGAAGCCCACTTGATTGTGGTGGATTATATTTTTGATGTGCAGCTGAATTTGGTTTGCTAGGATTTTATTGAGAATTTTTGCCTCTATATTCATAAGAGATATTGGTCTGCAGTTTTCTTTTTTTGTTGTGTCCTTTCCTGGTGTTGGTATCAAGGTGACATTGGCTTTGTAGAATGAGTTGGAGAAGACTGCTTCATTCTCTATGTTATGAAATAATTTCTGCAGTATAGGTACCAGTTCTTTGTAGGTCTGGTAAAAGTAAGCTGTGAAACCATCTGGTCCAGGACTTTTTTGTTAGGAGATTTTTATTGCTGTTTCAATTTTGTTACTTGTTATTGGTCAGTTCAGCAGTTCTAATTCTTCCTAACTGAGTCTAGGGAGGGTGTGTGTTTCCAAGAATTCATCCACTTCCTCAACATTTTCAAGTTCATGTACGTAGATATTTGTATAGTACTCAGAGATGACATTTTATGTTTCTGTGGTATCAGTTGTAATATCTCATTTTTCATTTCTGATTGAGCTTATTAGGGTCCTTTCTTTTCTGTTTCTGGTTAATCTAGCAAGAGTCCTGTCGATTTTGTTCACTTTTTCAAAGAACCAACTTTTATTTTCATTAATCTTCTGTATAATTCTTTTATTATCAATTTTATTTAGTTCTGTTCTGACCTTAGTTATTTCTTTTCTTCTGCAGGGTTTGGAATTGGGTTGCTCTTCCTTTTCTAATTCCTTGAGCTGATTCATTAGATTATTGATTTATGATCTTTCTGTCTTTTGGATGTAGGCATTTTATGGCTATGAATTTTCCTCTTCTTACTGCATTTGCTGAATCCCACAGATTTTGATAACGTGTCCCCTTTGTCATTTAGTGAAAAAGCTTCCGCAGAGCCAAGGAAATAATCAATAGAGCGCATAGACAACCTACACAATGGGAGAAAATATTTGCATGGTATACATCCGATAAAGGGTTAATAACCAGAATCTACAAAGAACTCAAACAAATCAGCAAGAAAACATAAAACAACTCCATTAAAAAGTGGGCAAAAGACATGAACAGAAGCTTTTCAAAAGAAGATAGACTAATGGCCAATAAATATATAAAAAAATGCTCAATGTCTCTAATTGTCAGGGAAATGTAAATCAAAATCACAATGAAGTATCACACCTAACTTCAGTGAGAATGGCTTTTATCAAAAAGTCCCAAAACAACAGATGCTGGTGTGGATGTGGACAGAAAGGAACACTTACACGCTGTTGGTGGGACTGCAAACTAGCTAGTACAACCGCTATGGAAATCCCTCAAAGAACTAAAAGTAGACCTATCATTTGATCCAGCAACCCCACTACTGGGTATTTACCCAAAGGAAAATAAGACATTTTATAAAAAAGACACTTGCACTTGAATGTTTATAGCAGCACAATTCACAATCACAAAGATATGGAAACAACCCAAGTGCCATCAATACACGAGTGGATTAATAAAATGTGGTATATGTATACCATGGAGCATTACTCAGCCATAAAAAAAAAAAAAAGTAACAACCTGGATGGAACTGGAGACCATTCTTCTAAGTGAAGTATCACAAGAATGGAAGAACAAACATCACATGTACTCACTATTAAATTGGAACTAAATGACTAATACCCATGTATACATATGGTAGTAAAATTAAATGGAAATCAAGCACATGGGAAGGGGGTGGAGGGGATGGGTAAATTCACACCTAATGGGTACAATGCATACTATCTAGGTAATAGACACACTTAAAACTTTGACTCAAACTGTACAAAAGTAATTCACGGATCCAAATGTTTATACTCCCATAATATTCTGAAATTTTTAAAAAATGCCAGTTACTGTTGTGTTTCTGTTATATTTTTATTGCTAGCTGCTGCTGCCACCTCACCACAGACTATTCAAACTGAAAAATGGTGTCAA